CTTTACAATTCTATATATACTATGGTTCGATTCCCACTTTGACATATGGCATCGAGTATAAATAATTATGAGGGTAATTTGACTTCTAATATTCATATTAATTAAAAATCATCTTCTTCTAAATATTTTCGAAAAATATTTTTTACGGTCTTGCAGAGTATTTTCCATGTTCATGAGATATTTTTAATTAGAACATTGCCATATTTTAAATTATCTTTGATATTTATGATCATTGATTGGCATACCTGAAATTGTATCTATTTTTTTAAAAGCAATTAGTAAGGAAATACCCAAATTGAATACGAATAAAATTAAAGGTTATTTGTTGAAGTATATTTGAAATAGGGACAATATTGCCATAAGTAGTACGAACGGCCGAATGGTTCTTATTATTATTCTTCTATGTCAGGCTGCAAACGTTCGTCTATATTTTCAGTGTCAAGGCAGAATTAAAATTAAAAAATAACGCTCGTAAGAAGTCATACTTCTTTGGCTAACAAAAAATTAAAAATAACTGAAAACTTTTTCACTAGTGCCAGTTTTTTTTTTCTTTTTTTAACTCGTTAAATGCAGTTGTAAAGTAAAAGTTAAGTACCAGACAATACAAACATGTCCCACTGCTGTGTAAAGGCTTCCTCTGTACATAGGGTATCAGGGCATTCCACCATGCGGCCCTACTTCGGATTGGTGGACTTCACATCTTAGCGAAATATTTTTTTCCCACAATATTTCGAAAAAACGCATGTTTCCCCACTATGTTTTCCTTCACCGCTGAGCACATGATAAGTCAGAACTTAAAATTAACAATTTCATTGGTGCCGGCACCGGGGATCGAACACAGGTTGCTTGAGTATATTGAATTCAAGGCGAGCGCTAGGACACTGAGCTACCACAATGCAATTGATAACGGTTTATTTAAATAGTTGTAAATTTGAGTTAAATAGTTGTAGTAATTTAAAAAGTTATTAGTTGATTGTCATGTGGAGTTCGTCGAAGTTGGTAGAAGCAAAGCGATTAACCGCTTTGCTTCACACGTCGCTTTTTGGCTGTAAAAATTTGGTTTCCGAATGTCATCATCATCATGAAACAAAGGAATTTTTTTTAAATTATAAATGAAACTTTATATAGCATCTTTAACATTTAATTTCTTTCTATGTTCCCTAATTTGCCAACGGTTTAAAGCATTATAGCTCATCAGCAAACTACGCGTGATAAAATTCGTATTATTGTTACACAGAACCGTATCACTTTTTCCTTTTCTACTCTTTACAAGGTAGTAAATATGGTATCGAAAAAATAAAGCTGTATTATTATTTGTCAGTATCTTCTGATAATTACGTGATGCGATAAAATGTATAAAAGAATTTACGTACGCATTTATTAACACCGACGCCAGCGATAACAAACACGAGGCACTATTTTACTTTCAAAAATTTAATAATGTAAACACGTCTTTATTGAAGCATGATGAAGCTATTCCGAACGATCAAAATATGTAATACCAAATGCGAGTTATAATCATCTTAGCGTCAATGTAACAACCTAAACATTACATTGGGTTTAAAGATCTTATTTCGATTTCAAAGTTAAACTGTCAATAATTCGACAATGTATCGACATTGAACGGATATAAAAACTCTACATAATATATCCCCTATGCACTTAAATGCGGTAGGACCGTGAAACAGTCTTCGCTGATATACAAAAGACCAGCGTGAGGTGGAAATGAGGTAGCCGGGTTCTTATTTAAAAAACACGTAGCACTTGCAAATATAGATGGGCAGCGGTTGTCGCTTAAAATCAGATGAATCGCGAGCTAGCTTGCGACGTTCTCGCTTATAAGAAAATGTTTAGCTGCTCCCAACGTAATAATTAAATATAAAATGCTTTTCACCAATGGTCAATAGCAACAATCAAGTCATGATTCAACATACCTAACCGCTCAATATTGCTTGGTTAACGTTACTGCTGAATCTTCGACTTCGCAATCGAAAAATTCATGAATTATTTTTTTATGTCCATTACTGCCGTCCATGAGCCCATCTTCAACACCTGATAAGTTGTAGCTGTGGTGCCAACCTATAAAAATAAAATATAACAAGATCAACCAATATAATGAATGCATTCATTAGGTTTTTATTGAAGCAATATGCTTTAGAAAATGAAATATACCAATAATAACGGCCTCACTTTATTTTTAAAAATAATCACAACATTGTCTATTCCCAAACTTCCTGTACTAGATAACTGATAAAATTCCTTAATAATATTTGATAAATAAGTTCATATTCTAGAAATAATACTTATCACTATGCCCATCGGATCTTCAGTAATTGCTTTTTTAAGTAAAGGGTTTTTTAAGTAAATTACTCAGAGATCACAGGGTGCAAAATAGTGAAGAGTGCCGTATCTAGGGCGGTACCAGCGAAGTCAAGGATTAAGTTTACGGTCCTGCATGGTAGAATTTGAATGATGATTTATTTAATGTACTTTGTCAGAGTCGGGTAAAATAAGAACACTTTTCAAGCAATAGCCGTGATAGCTCAGTGTCCGGGCGCTCACTTTTAATTCAATATACTCGAGCAACCTGAGTTCGATCCCCGGTGCCGGCACCAATGAAGTTATTAACTTTAAGTGCTGACTTATCACGTGCTCCGCTGTGAAGGAAAACATTGCGAGGAAACCTGCATATTTTCGAAATAATAACAAAAAAAAATATATATATATATATATATATTTCGAAGATATGTGATGTCCACCAATCCGCAGTGGGGCGCGTGGTAGACTATGGCCTGATATCCTCTGTATAGAGGAGGCCTTTGCCCAGCAGTGGGACATGTATAGACTGTTACTACTTATTTTTCAAGCTGTTAGAGAACCTCGCGCCGGGCAAATAGAACGCTAGTTACGGTACTGCTAGTGTACTATACAATATACTATGTTGTACATATAACATATTATGCTATATTAATGCGCGAAAAGTACTCGAGGAAAAACAGCCAGCGACACATTTTATCAATCAAAAGTATCGTAGTTAATTAATTGCTAACCAAACTCATAATAAACAAAGATAATCACGACAATTCATTCAAGTCGATTCTATGTAGTACCTACAAAACACGATGTGGAAATTGTTACCCAAAATTGTAAAATATGTTCTCAATCTAATAAATTAACATATACGATATAAGATTGTGTGTTTCGTGTCCTGTATGATTCTGTATACAATTCATCGCTTAAATTTAAGTTGTCCTGTGCACTTGCAGCAAGGCACATTTTTTTCTCTATGGGTCCACTCAGGAATATCGCCTCTTGCACGAAAAATCGCCCGGAAAAGTATCACTGCCTCACAGAACCTGGATAATGTTGAAGTATTATGCTTTTATTTTGCATCTGGTGAGGGAAGCAACGTTGGTCCTTTTAAACGAGCCTTTTAGGTTGACAACGCATTAATGCAGGTACTCACCGGCCATGGGTGCTTTGGTGAGTACCTAAACAGAATTAGTCGCGAACCGACGACGCAATGCCACCACTGTGGAGGGGAACGGGACTCCGCGCAACATACACTCGCTGAGTGTCCTGCATGGGAGTCCGAGCGACGGATCCTTGTCCGCAAGATAGGGGAGGATCTTTCTCCTTCAGCAGCCGTGGCGGCTGCGCTGGCGGAGAATTCTGCTTGGCGGGCACTGGTCTCCTTCTGTGAAGTTGTTATGCTCCAGAAGGAAATCGCCGAACGGGAAAGGGAGAGGGCCGATCCCGCTCGGAGACGGGGGCGCCAGGCCGGTAGGGGCAGACGTGCTGCCCCGTCAGCCCTGTAGTCCCGGGCTTTAGAATAGGACTAAGGTATCACCTGCCTGTCGTAAAAGGCGACTAAAAGGGGACATGGATTGGCAGCAGCACGAAGTGGCCTCGAGCTGCTGCAAGATGGTGAGGGAATAGGGGAAGGTTTATCCTTCTCCGCGGCTTGCTCACGCCCAGTACCGAGGGACACCGGTGCGTTCCGTAGGAGATCCCGGAGTCCCTCCAAACGTACAGAAGGTGGCCACCGAGGGGGTTTTAGTGGGTAAGAACCCCACATAACCCTCTCATAGAATGACAGGGTATCTTACGAAGATTTCCCCCCCGATACCAAAAAAAAGGTTGACAACGCATATTTTATAACCCCACAGATGTAAATATATAAGTATAGCAGTATTTACTTAACATAAGATGAATCGCCTGTTCGCTTAATTAAAAAAAATCCCTGACCCAAAAAAGTGTATATTTTTCCTCTGCTCAAAAATTAAAAAAACAACATTGTAATCACTTTTTTTCGTTGAGTGGCATAGCAACGTCTGACGGGAACATGTTAATTGGAAATAAAAATAAAAATTGATTGTGATGTTTAAGAAATTAAGATAACAGAAAAACATTGTGTGACACTGTAGGTAACAAAGAAAATAAATTTTGCTCTTTTTTAAAACCTGAACAGTTCTTTTTTGTTTGAATCGACAAGGTGTTTTCGTCCAGGCCGATACTACTATTTAAATAAAATCTAATATACAAGGCAATGGTGGCAGTTTATCACCAATTCATCACTATATATATATATATGCAACATATATATATGCAACAGACACGAGTAAGTCCTATTCAAAACTGATGTTATATAGGGTGTATATTTAAGGCATGCCTTCCTTTTCTTTATAGTATATTCGGCCAACAATTTTTTTTAACCTGGAGGAGAAATTCAGAAAAAAATCCTAAACGTGTAACGACATTAGACAACACTCATACGAGGTGAATGTTTTTCCAACGAAAGGTTATGAATAAAGATTACATTTCATGTGATGTGTCAACGGTTCGTGAACGCAAATACTAACTTATTCTAAAGTAACGCTATATTATTTCCGTCAACGGAAATTAATAAAAGACGATATTACAACTGCATATGGTTATTATTAAAATCAAATTTCAAAAATCTGTCGTTTACAAACAGCAAAACATTGCATGTTCGCTCAGTCAAGGAATTTTTCGATGCGTTTGGCAATGGTGGTTCCGCAGGTTGCATCAGAATGGTCATTGACCACGTAATTTGACTTTTTAAGAATTTTAGAGTCCTTCAGGTAGTTCTCAACAGTCTCCTTGGCGGCTGCTTCCGGAATCTTGCTTCTAGACTTAATCCAAGAGAAGACTGAAAACGGAAATATTTATCTTAATAAAACACGCAGTAGAATTGCAATTAACTATATAAGTTTATCCACGCGACATTTTCTATCTCGCTTTATGAGTTTAAGGATTATTACTTTTTTTTGATCATCTACATGATGGTTGTCAAATTGTTTTATGTGGTGAAAAATTTAATTCAAGTTTTGTGAAGGTAATACTTTCTTTTAAAGCATTCGTGTATATCCAAGAAACAGTGGCGGATATGCCCTAAGGCCCAATAGGCTCGGGCCTAGGGCGGCCACATATTAGGGCGGCCAATCGTGACAAAAAGTTCACTGATGAAAACAAGATATATGATGGGCCCTGTGAAAGGGGCGGCTGGAACTTACAACATAGGCTGGGGTCTAGTGCGGCCAAGACTACAAATCCGCCGCTACCAAGAAATATTTTTGTACTGACTGTAACTCTCTCTACCGTAATCATAAATTTTGAAAAATAAAATTTGAAAATAACTTTACCATGAAAAAATAGTTCATCAACAATTTCAACCATATCTATTTCTATTCCTGTACCGAAATCTACTGTTACTTGATCACTTTTTATTGGTTCTATTCTTTTTGTTGGTTTAATTAACCTTAGCTAATTTTAATTCGTAAGATTACGAATCAATGACCAAATGGTCGTTCAAAATTCATAAATTAAAATAAAATTAAAGCTAAGTATAATTCATTTAAGCTCATAGAATAAAAAGCCAATCATCACACGTAAACGGAGTGTATAAAGCGAATTAAGGTATAATATATATACCTACGATAAATAGAAATGTTACAAATCATATTAGTCATAAATACAGAAATGAATTATAACAAATACCTTGGTGTTTGTTGGTCTCCTTGAAGTACTTGCAGCTGTAGCCGATGGAGTAGCTCTTGTAGTCAGTGTCCAGGATAGTCAAATAGGAGTCCTTAGATACACCTGCAAAATAACATATTCAAATTTTACTTGATAACTGCAGGGACGCTAATATTTAGAAAACTTGATGATGAAAAATATTCAGATGACTGTTTAGTTTAGGTACAGTATTAGAAATTGTACCGGTACTCTGACTCAAATGTTTTTAAAAAAAATATGTGGATTTAACTTTCATAATCCAAATATTAATGATAAATCGTTTCAAAATGGCATCTTTAAAGCATTAATATAAGTGATAGGGGATCTTTGAGGGTTAAGATTTAAACTAATTAAGACTCACCTCCGAAAGTATACGTGATTCTGACTTGAGACGGCCCCACTAGCTTGAGATCGCCCTCAATGTAATACTTAACGCCATCAACGACGTGACTGTTCTTAGCTTTCCCATTTTCCCCATCTACGGTGTATTCGGCGGTTGTACATTTGCCCTTGTCGCCCTCCTCGCCAGCGTTGGGGTACCGAGCAACCTCGTACCATAGGCCTTGGTACTAAAACAAATTTATAACTTTACTAGCTGTTAACCGCGGCTTCGCCCGCGTGATCGAAGAGATGGCTGAATTTTTTCCTACTTAGTTGACACTTATCATTACCTATATTTTGGACAATTCACACAATATCTTTATAAAATGTAGCCTATGTGTTATTCCGATGTATAAGCTATAATACAAGTATTGTAAAGTTTCATTAAATCTATTCAGTAGTTTTTGGGTGAAGGAATAACAAATATCCATCTATATATACAAATAATACATACTTTCGCCTTTATAATATTAGTAAGGAAGTAAGAATACAACGACCTCACAGAAGTTAGCCTAGAAGTAAAAAGGATTAAAACTGGGGAAAATTTTCTGGCGAATGTCCGATAATTTCCGGTGTTCTATTGTCTTTGTTCCCGGGTACCAGTTTCGTGGATTTTTGTGATTTGTGTGACTCTTAAATAATTGCCATGGATCTATGTGTTTGTCTACGTGAAGATTTTATATGTGAAACTTCCTTAATGTTCAAAATGTTATTATTATACAGTTTTGATTAAAGTTAAAAATAATGACTACATAGTATAAAACAATTTCGTCCCGCTGTCTTTCTGTTCCTATTTATGCTTAGATCTTTAAAACTATGCAAAGGATCTTGATGCGGTTTTTTTTTTACTAGATAGATACTAGATAGATTCAAGAGGAAGGTTTATATGTATAATACATACATACATTCGCGTGAAGCCGGGGCGGATCGCTGGTAATAAATAAGATGAATTAACAAAATGCGGTAACTGGAGGGCTCTTTCGATGGTTAGCAAAATTACTAGTACTATGGCGTCCATGGTCGGTTTACCGCTTGCTTGTTTACCTACTCTTTGACATGGGAAAGCTATCTCTGTTTGTATATGATGATAGATGACGATTTAATGCAGATAAAGCGCTTTTAGTGCTAGTCCATGTCTGTATTAATATTTGTTCTGTGTTTAATTCAGTAATAGTTGTTAATTTAGTGATATTTAATTATAATTATGTAACTATCAAATAACTCTTTAATCTGTACTCACAGCACTAAAGTTGAAGTTTTCCACAGGTTTCACTTCTTGACAGGGACCGTCGTAGACAATGTCAGCGGATGCCACCGCAAGGAAAGCCAACACCAAGAATCGGAACATGTTGAGCAGTTAGACGACTTTACTCCAGGTTGTGAAGTTAACTGTCTAATAGATGTTTTTTTGAAATTGTTGATCACTTTTATAGTAAGCAAAGATCAAAGGCCGTGAGCGGATTGGCATGTTTACAAATTGAAAAACTTATCATAACGTCTAACGCAGTATAAAAATGATAGATACTGTTACTATGTAAATAAAAAAGACATTACGTAGGTACCTATTCTTTTTAGATTAAATATTGATATGAAAACAAAAGCTGGCGCTGCGAGCATACAACTTAGACTATTGCTCTAAAGGTAATGTGCATGACGTGCGAAATGACAAGCTGAGCTGCTGTCATAAATTGTTAATAAAAAGCATTTCGATACCTTAATTGGCAAACAAGCTAACTCCATATGGGCAAGTTTTACAGGAGACATTTAAAACTGTATAATATTTTTTTTAGAGTACTTATGAGAAAATCTAAAATATAGTTGGTAGATATTATCGTAAATTGTCATTCTTGATATTATAAAATCCATTATTGGTGTCATCAAATTTAATTTAATTTTTTAATATCTGTCATCTTATAAATTCTATTGTTAGAATTACTTTATCAACTAATAAATTGGTTAAAATCGTTGCAAACTAACCAGAACTCAGCTTCTACCTTCATTCCATAGAAAGGAACACCCATCTCTAGTTTTCATAAATCATAAATACGCACGTTTTGAAGGGTGGTATATAAAAGCATTAACTTTTTTACATTTTTAAGGGTCTTTCCTATCTCTTTGCCTAATTGTATCTAAATTTCTTATTAAATTATCAACGTAAATTCGTTTGTTATCCCGTCATATTTCAAAATTTATCAAACAATATTTTTCCGTCATCTTCAGAAATATTATGACATTGGATAACACTATTTCTCTTTTACTTATAGTAGTCTAGATTCATGATTTTTTTAGTAGTTTCTGTATTAACCCTTTCACGCCCAAGGGAAATATTTTTCCCTTCTACAAAAATCATTATCGATTGTTCAATTATTATTGAATTGATATTTTTTTTACTAAATGTCAAAGTAAAACGTATGTCCAAGGCGGCAAATGTGTTTCTGAATGAATAAACAAAAAATAACTGTCTAACTTTATTGCGCCAAAACCAAAACATTCGCGGGCTGAATTAATAATATCTAGGAAGTGTTTTGGACTTGAGCAAATAAAATAACTTTATTTTGTCACGTGTTTTACATTATTGGTAAGTATAATTTTATGTAATAATACAGTAAACTGCAGAACATTAGCACAAGTACCTGAAAATTGCAAATCATCTAAAGGGAAATATTTTTCCCTCTGGTCCATATCTGGTGTATTCGTTGTATTATTATTATATGTAGTGCTTTATGATAATGTAGGGATTTCTTGTATTTTCTTGTATTTTCTTGTATTTTATACAGTTTACCTTCATGGTTTTTTACAGAAAAGACTAAAAGTGCAGAGAATTTCATATTCAAGATGAAGAACTATTGCTTATGGCGATAGTAGTGACGGAGAAGATAACTTACTACAGACTACAGTTAGACGAAGAAGACCAGCAGTTCATAGCTCAAGATGTAGAAAATGGAACCGATGTTGTTTGAAATTGAAGATTCTGTTCAAGAAGTATCATCAACATGTAGCACGAGGTCTAATATTTTTTTTATGGGAAGAAAGCGGCAAACGAGCAGGAGGCTCACCTGATGGTAAGTGATCACCGCCGCCCATGGACACCTGCAACACTAGAGGGTTTACAAATGTGTTGCAAGCCTTTTAGGAAAGAGTAGGTATGCTCTCTTTTTGACACACCGGCGACAGCTGGTTCCACAGAGCGGTTGTACGAGGCAGGAAATGCCTTGAAAATCTCGCTGTTGAGGAACGCTGGAAATCGAGGTGGTGTGGATGAAATTTTTGGTTTTTGTCCGATGGTGAAATTCGGCCGCCAGAATCAATCCAAACAATTCTTCGGAACACTCCCCGTGATAGGTGTGGTAGAAGATGCAGAGTGATCCAACATGTCTACGCAGAACCAAAGTATGAAGTCGATCGGAAAGACTTTGATCGTCGATAACCCAAGCTGCCCTACGTTGGATGCGGTCAAATGGAAGAAGTTGGTAATAGGCGGCTCCCGCCCAGAGGTGACAACAGCACTCCATGTGGGGCCGAATTTGCGCCTTATAAAGGTTTAGGCGTTGCGCCGACGTGATGTCTCGCCTTACTGAGCGAACCTACCTTCTTTGAAGCCAATGTGGTCTTACTTTCCAATTGACCCCGGAACTGGACATTGCTCGAGATTTCGACGCCAAGTATTCCGATATTTTACATGTAGACAGCAAACAAGAATCACTTAAGTCTCCTCTGAAAAGCTCCGCATTGGAAATAAACTGAAGCGATACGTAAACTGTGCAAAACGACGTATAGAAAATAGGAGACATAATAAATGTGTTATGTGCAATGAACACTTGTGCTTCACAAGTAAACGAAATTGTTTCGTAGAATACCATAACTAACTATTTATTTTACTTTTCTGATAATTTTTACTGTGTTTTTTGTTTTGTACAAAGCAATAAATAAAATACCGATAAAATAAACCTTACTCTTTATTTATTTACTTTTATGGTCCATAGGGAAAAATATTTCCCATTAAATTATAGGAAACCTAAACATCCTTCTATGTTTTTCTGGAGATATCCTCTTACTTTATACCCACAATAGCTAAAATATTGTGTTGTATCGGCATATTTAGTCTTGGACATCTTATGGTCCTGTAAGGGTTAAAGGAACGGCCTAATCGTTATCCGATTTATCATTACTTGTGGAGAGTTGGGCGGGCTTAAAACTTAGACGCATTTTCAAGATGTATTTAAGTGATGGAGTAAGGTGACCAGATGGCGAACTTGGACTGTATAGTTCTTTTTCAAACGGAAATATGTCTTCATTAACAACAATTCCATATGTTTGCGTATACTCCATGGCAGACAGTTCATTAACAATACAACAAATGTTGTTTTCAAATCATCATCATCATCATTTCAGCCTGTTTGAGTCCACTGCTGAACACAGGCCTCCCCCATAGACTGCCACGAAGTAAGATCCTGAGCCACCTGCATCCATCGACTTCCCGCACAATTGGACAAATAAATTCGATGAATTAGAAGCTACGCTACCATGCCCAACCAAAGCGTCATAGGGTTTAGAAAATTGGTTATTAAGAATCAGAAGAGTCAGGTTTATTGGTATCATCAAATTTAATTTTAATGTTTAATAAACTTTAAAATGTATAACTTCCAACCGTAGCGTAATAAAGTAAGAAGCAAGCCGGCCAACTCAAAGCCAATATTAAATTTTAGAATTGCTCAATTACCTAGCACTATTTTGTAAGAAATAAAATAAGTATCCATACTGTGTATTAATGTTCAATTTTTTTCAACACTACCTTTCCTTTTGTTGCGTTTATATATTTTTTTTTCCAAATAACGTAGGGCGGTATCCGTACATGACTCGGACGCCATACGAAATAGCCGTCTTGGTGGAGTTGGCTGTTAAAATTGTAACGTTCCGTGACATGGGGAGTTGGCTGATTTGCGAATAGCGATTTATAGAAAGAAATAGTGATTATATCGGAGTTATTGTGTTTGCAAATCACGCGGAATTATTATTGCGTACAATCAAAGCCAAAAAACATTTTTGACCAAAGTTGGAGTTAGCTGGTTTGCGAATTAAGGTATCGATTTGTGGAATGTTTAAAACATAATTTAAACTTTAATACTAATCACGCTGGAATTAACCTAACCGTCTCGTAAAAGAATATGAAATTTAAATCATTTAATTTGTTTTTCTTGTGCGGTGAAATTTATTAGTTTCAACACTCGCAAACTTATATACATTTAATTTACGACTGATAAATTTATCGCGTCATCTAAATGTCCTATGTCTGACAACCTGAAATACTCATTTCATGTAACACGGAAGAGTACTCTTTTCATGTTAAAGACATCAGTATCGAATAAATAATCTGTATCATATCATATGTAATAATATCTTTCTTCTTACCTCACTAGTCGTGGTAGGACTACGCAACAGTGTCCTCATAGAAGACCGGCGTAAAGTAGAAATGTTACACTTCTGCGTTTCGCCCGGACACTGAGGTAGCCGGGGCCCACTTATTTATAGGTGGCAACGCATATGCAACTCTACGAGTGTTGCAAATGTCCATGGTCGTCGGTTATCACTTAACATCAGATAAACCAGTTTGCCACTTTCTCACATAAAAAACAAAACATTTCATTTATTTTACCTAATAATTAACATGATTAGCCATAATACTCTAGATGACAATTGAAGTTAGAAGCATATTTCTACGTGAGTAGTTACTACATAAATTTTATGATTATTGAATTCAGAAGTAATAATGCTATTTATTACTAGGATAACAGACATTTGCAGGATTCAATTAAATCAATTAATTTATCCAAGAAATATATATAATATTTAAATATATATTTAATATTTAAAATTATTAATAAAAGTAAAATGGTGGCAAGAGCAGGTGGTTCACTTACCGGTAGGTGATTGCTGCCACCCATAGCCATATACAACACCTGAACCCGTGTTTAGCTAACATTTCAAAAATAGTAGGTAACACTTAGATGATACCATGGTACTTTTTTTATAGTTATCTCGGCGTTAACTATAAATAAAGTAAAGTAACAGCCTATGGGTGTACCACTGCTGGGCAAAGACCTCCTTTTTATAGACCCACTGCAGATTGGCGGATTTCACATATCATCGAAATATTTTTTCACATATCTTCGAAATGTTTTAACCGACTTCAAAAAAGAAGTAGGTTTCTCAATTCGACCGTATATATTTTAACTTTTTTTTATGTGTGTTTGCGGATAACTTCGTCGTTTATGAACCGATTTTGATTATTATTTTTTTGTTGGAAAGAAGATATCACAAGGGTAGTACCATGATGGAAACCCGCATCTG